CCTAGTGATGAAGGTTTGTCACCCACAAACCGCCAAATCACCTTCTGGGGGAGCTCAGCAAATGCAGCAGCTATTGCTTCTGTGATATCTGAAGACAGAGCTGACACCACTGTTCCCAAAGACATGATCACAACCCCATGTTCTCCAGAACTCTGCATGAATTCCTCCAAATCATCAGGGAGAGGTTGGGCTTCTTTGCACTGGAACCCCCCTATGTACACCACATTAGGCATGGTGGGCCGTGGAAAGTCAAAAACGAAATCTCCCCTAAAAAGCCAGATATCAGCTGATAGCTCCAAAGAAATCATGTCTGTGCCAGGAGGAAAGTGTTTCTTGAACACATCTGAGTAGGCTGGGTTTATAATGTAGTACATCTCATAAATATTATAGAAATAGTGCAACATATTCTTAATCCTCTCTGGAAAATCCATCTGATCCTGAAGTTCACTTCCTGATACAGGCACATAAGAGACAGGAGAAGGGGCTATAGTTTGATGACCTTCTCCATTATTAATCCAGCGGACATTAAAGACCATCGGCAGCTTAAGGTAACCACCCACAATAACCCCTAAAGGAAAAGCAGGGTCTGTCAAAATTATTTCAAACTTACTATCCTGTAAGTTCTGCATTAACACTGGATCCTCTAAAGTTTTACCAGCTAATCGCGCTAAACCCTTATGGCCCTCCTCTAACATCTGTGTCAGCAAATTCTGTTGACAAAATGAGCGTATAAAAGTAGGATACCTTCGGCACTGTATTCCATCTTCTATCAATTTCATAAAATTTGCATTTGTCTCATCCTCTAGCATTGGAACATGAATGGAGGTATAAATGGAGGAGTTACTGGAAATGAACCAGCTCTTGGCTGAGTGCAAAATTGTGATTTCATGGCCCCTGGAGTGAAGCTCTTCAAGGATAATCTTCATATTGATCCAGTGGCTGCCATCAACAGGTACCACCAGGATCTTGCTAGAGTCAGAGGGTCTTGGCAAAAAACAGCAGAGTACTGCCAGAAATACTGTGACAGAGTTGGACATTTTCTGTAAAGCAAAACACAAAAAGTTAATTCCCAATAAAGAAAAAGAATGTTAGAGATTAGATTTAAAAACTGAGTTTTTTTGCTCCAAGATGGTTGTCGATGCTAACAGTTATTCACCCAGCATGTATTGATACTTTAGACAGTGAGAAGTACAATGACTGAGAGAGCCAAGTGGACTGCAATTACAAAAATGGGTAACCAATATAAAAAGTACTGTAAAGTTAGAAACCGTCTTGAAAGACAAAAAGGCTAAACCAACAAAGACAAAAATTAGACTTACAGACCAACACATAAAACAGATGCAAAGGAAAAATCTTGCAAAGGATAAATGCTGCAGAAAATAAAGAGCAGCCAAAGGATAAATGCTGCAGAAAATAAAGAGCAGCCAAAGGATAAATTCTGCAGAAAATAAAGAGCAGCGAAAGGATAAATGTTGCAGAAAATAAAGAGCAGCCAAGTCCAAATGTGCTTTAAACGCTAAACCTTCTGCAAACATATGATGCTAACACACAAAACACAGGCAAAGATAAAATGCTGAAGATACCTCAAATAATTAAAGTTTAAAAAAAGCTGCATCAGCTCTGCATAATTGAGTGCTCCTGACTTATAGGAGTATGTGATTATCCTTTCATATGGGATCAGATCATAGACTTTACTATGAATTGTATGTAATGAATAAACTGCAACCCCTCGCTAAGACCATAAACCAGATGCCTGCCTAGTGGACATTTGATAAACTTTCTTCTTCTTCTTTAGATGAAGGCTCTACAACTTCTGAAAAAAGATCCTGTGACTCATTATTTTTATTTCCACATGTAATGCTCAACGTTATATTCAAACATTTCATTTAAGAACATATCTCCTTACATTAAGGTATGTGTGACCAATGACATTGCCTTACCAGCTTCAACCAGTAACTATTTTTCCTTGATCTGGTTTTATGAATTCATTTCAACCCAAAGTACGTTTATCTTTGCTGGACATTGTTACAGCTGTTTTACTTTCATGTAGCTGTTCGACCAGTAAAAGGTAGCACTCCACTTTATTTTTAAAGTTAAACAAATAGAGTGTTTGGTGATGCTTTAAAAAAAAAAAAAACTGCATTTATGAATGCTATGAATTAACCAGTCATAGCCCTGATTCCTTCAAATGGGCCTCACAGACTATTTGAAGGCATAATCATCTTGGTGAGTGCCAACATTTTAAACTGAATAAGCTAAAAGGAAATCAATCTCTGTTTTTATATATATTTAGCAGATAGACATAACTTAGTTAATGTAAACTGACCTAGCACAAGAAATGTTTGTAAAAGAAATTGTAAAATTGTTAATATCTGATCAGGGGCATCTCTAGGTTTAAGAGACAAGGGTGGCTTAGCCCCTAGAAGATATTGCGCGCGCACAGCGCGCGCCAAAATTTTTTCAGTGCACCTGCTAAGGCGTTGTCTAAGACAAGGGTGTAACTTTTTGTTGAAAGTTGGTGGGGATGGCTCATAAGGAAAGGGAGCTACCTGCGTGACACCTTTTTTTTTTGTTGGAAAGGATAAAGCCAAAAAAATGCGAATAACATTTATCAATTTAATGCTTACAGTTGAAAACATAACTGTTACAATATTCACTTATATATTTTGTGCAAAAAATATCACATAAATCTAAACAGACAGTACAAATCAAAGAAATCAAATAAATTTATCAATTTTGTAGAACATTTATTGACAGTCAATTTTAGGTCACTTTTTAAAATTAATTTACTTTTAAACAAAGACTCGGACAAGATCTTATGGGACCTTAAGCAGAATATGAAAAATCATCGCCATCTTTCTGTCAAGCACATCCACCAGCAGGGTATCCAGG